GGATATTAACTAATTAATAAATTAAATATTAAATTATTTTCATTAATATATAACAAAATACAAGAAACCTATGCAATGACTCTTTCTAATTTGTCACAAATCTATGGTGAAGAGATTCCCAATTGTTAGAGATTTAGAATTCAAATAGAACATTTTATATTTCGGTTTCGATACATATTAAATATTCATTTGTAATGTTTATAGTGTTTGTTGTCCATTAATTCACGTATGTTAGTAATCTAATCACTTGATTTCATGAAAAAATTCCTTTTTGTTGACAATTTTGGTAGTTAATTACCTTATGCTAAATCGATGTTAAGTTATTGTGCTCAATAAACAATCTGAATGTCAGAAATATTCATTTTACCTCTAATTTTATATAAAACACTAAATAAAATAAATGTTTGATTAAATATTGAATGGTTGACTATGTGTGATAATTGGTTATTCGGCTTCAAAGCTCGGGGTTGTTTTTTAAGAGTATTGATAAGTTGAGGGGTTAAATGTATTTATGTGCTTAACTCTTTTTTAAAACCTCACCGCCTCATGCATATTTTGAGTGAATTATATAAGATATTATATGTTATCTCATGGGGATAGTAAAAATTAAATAGAAGTTTTCTGTGTGTATGTGTGTTCTTTGAACAAAGGAAAGGAAAATCGAGACAGAAAGGAAAGGAAAATCGAGACAGAAAGGAAAGAAGGGAGTTGATTATGTGATTTCTACTTGGATGATTGTTGTTGTTCATCTTCGTATCTTTATCTTTGTGATTCTAAGGTGAGTTATTTACAAACTTTCCTTATTTGGTAATTTGGAAATTAGATTCGTATGGTTCTTTATATGGGGAGATGATTATAAAACCGTTTTTGGATGCTAAAATTTGTATAATTGTGGAATTTTGGTATGTTATATCTTGTGAATGGAATAAATATGGCATATCAAGGAGAGGTATATTTTGGTTATAAGGGTGACATATCAAGGAAAGATGTATCATGGGATTAGGGTGGCATATCAAGGAGAGGTGTATACCAGGATAAGGGTGGCATAATCATTGAGATATAAAATCTGGGTTTTTGATCAAAGTGTTCTTTGTTATCGTATTCTTATGATGCAATGACTTTAAGTTGTCGCATCTGTGTGATGTGATGACTTAAAATTATCGCATCCTATTGATGCGATGAATAGTGGTTATCGCATCTATATGATGCAAGGAGTGAGATTGTTGCATCCTTGTGAAGCGACAAGTTGACTTATCACACATGTGTGATGCGACAAGTTGGGTTTAACGCTCCAGTGTGATGCGATGAGATGAGGTCATCGCACCAATGTGTTGCAAGAGATGGGATTGTCTCACGCATGTGATACGAGAAAAATACATATTCATATATATGATGCAATGAGTTTACTCGGATTGTGTTTATTAAGTTATTTGGTTATTTTGATCCGATAAAAAAGGTTTGTTCTATTAAAGTATTGTTTATTTGTTAATGCTACAAATATGGGTTTATAAACATGTTTGGTTATTGTTCACCTTGTAATAGCCAACAAAGGGATTTCTCACTATACCTCAAGGTCTAACCCTAATTTTTTGGTGTTTTGAAAATGTGCATTACAGGTCGTGCATAATCAGAGGATAAGGAGAAAGGGAAACTGTGAGGAGTTTTATATGCTTACATGGGATGTGGAGGATAACATGTTATCTGTTGTATTTGAATACTTGTTATATATACAAGTTTTATATAGGGATTTTTGTGGAAAATTTTGATAGCTACTGTGTAATGTAGCTTTTGTAATTAATGGGACCAATTGTGTAAATTATATTTCTTGATATATATGAAAATATATGTTTATATGCAAAAATGTAATCTTGAGGAGTTACACTTTGACAGATAAAATTTATCAATTTAAGTGTGTCTTCATTAATAAAAACAACTTGATTTAACATAATGGTACGAATTCAACGATATAACAACAACATTAATAAATCAAAATACCTAAACACTAAACCTCACTATAGATCAAACACAAAGCATTTAACATTCAGACCCAATACTTCAACAACAAATTTTATAACGAACTACAAGACTATTTACGGCAACAATTTTAAAGGTAACATTGTTTGCAACAAAAGATTTATAGCAACAGCCATCTTTTAGCATGTTAAATATGAGATTCTAAACATGACTCCCAAAATTTTGGACCCATTTTTAGATGTATGTCATATGGGCATATTTTTTTACCCAAAAAGTCAATCCCCGCTTGGTTTTTGAAGTATTAGGGTTCCAAAATCAAACCTTCCTCTTTTTTAGGGATTTGTATTTCCTGTGAATAATTCAAGTCTTTCCGTTATTGATAATAGGTTTGCTTTATGAATTTTTTTAACTTTGAAAGATAGGTTACAATGTTATTCAACTATTTATCAATTGTCTTGGTATATGTGCAACACTGCCTCCAAAAGGATTGGAACGGTTATTGATAGCAATATTGCTTACAATAAATCGTACAAATTTTATATACATTTCTACAGAGCTTTCAAGTAATCTCCATGGTCAACACACCACTTAGTATAGTATTAATTCCAACTTATTGTGTTTCTTGAAGCTAGAATTTTCTTAGGGTATAGTTGAGGCCATCATTTGAGGAACAAAACAAGCAGTCCACATATCAAATTTCAAATAAAACCCATAAAAGAAGTACCACATGAGGATTTGAATTAAACAAGCCATTGTTCAAGCAAATATCCATGAAAAATATCTTTTGTCATTCCATTTCATTTCCAGGAGCTTGATTTTAGAATGGTATGAAAGGAAAATGGTCGGTTGAATGGAAACTACACCTTCGAGTCAGGCTGAGCGAATAAGCCCTAATACGTTTCATTGAGCCACAATCAAACAACTTTATACAGCTTACGGAATAAGTCATACATTCTATACGGTCCATTAAGTTGTTACAGAACAGCCCCTTATTCTGCTACAGAAACTTTATTTAGATATTTTTCTATTAATAGTATGCCTAGAAGTCAAACATTTGATTATTTTACTTGGTGACATTGAGTTTTGATTAATAAAAGTATGGTTTGTATATTATGTGTCACTCTTACACTATGCATTGTATAATGCATATTATAGTAACTTTAGAATGTAATTCTAAAAACGTCCTTCATTAACGATGCTACTTTAGACTTGGGTTGAAGTAGAACAATTGTTATTATATGTAGGAACACATATGGTTGATACGGAGTTTACATATGAGTCTGTGTTGGTGAACTTTTAACTAGAAAGACTCGTTGTGAGAACTGAGAACACTAAATTGGATGTCATATAAGTATCATAAGTGTTTCTCATGTGATCATAATATATAACATCATTTAGACTTAATGATCTTGAAATCTAATTTGTGTGAGTAACACACTTTGATACTAGATCTTATCACTTTATAACTAAGTAACATAGTCGTTTTAGCATTAAAGATACCATGTGACGAGACTTACATAACGAAACAGATTGTCCCCAAGCGAAAGTATTCTAGACTTAGGTGTCGTTTACCAAACGCTTACTTGGGTAAGCACTTATCAAGTCACTTTACTTTACCGGATGGATATGGCAAGGACTAAAAATCTTACCCGGCAAGAATCGAGAGTCTTACCCGGTATGAAAACGAGGAATCGGGATAAAATTGTTGCAATACGATGCATTTTAGTTATTTGGCTACTAATATGATTAGTGGTGAACTTGATATGATATCAAAAAGTAACTTCCTAGACCACGTACCATACCCACTATAGTTCGTAGGAAAATCAATTACTAATATTAATAAATAGAGTTCGTAACTTATTTGGCTACTAATAATGTTGCTTGGTATAAGTTGGTAATGGTACAATAAGAAGATGCAGAATGCTAAAAAAAACAACCAGAAACATGAATAAGGTTCAACTTTTTAATAATCAATTCAAACAACACCAACACCAACACCAACACCAACACCAACACCAACACCAATTGATTAATATGTCAACAAATTGCCTAATCTCAAAATCAGATTATGCAATAAGCCAAGCAAGGGCCGTTTACCAAATGCTTACCCGGACAAGTGCTTACCAAGTAACATTACCTCACCGGATGAATATAGTAAGGACTAGGAATCTTACCCGGTAAGAGCGAGACAAGGATCAACAGTCTTACCCGGTAAGTGAGGGCGATGACTCTTACCACGGTAAGCACTTACCGGGTAAATTGTTGCATACGATGTTGTTTTAGTGGACTAAAATCTTACCCGGTAAGTACATAATAGTGTTAAATTTTATGGGTAAACACTTACCGGGTAAGTGTTTGATAAACAACCCCTAAGTGACAAGTATGTAGCGCGGATTACTCGAGTCCTATTAGAATAGATAGAGTTGTCATTTTGGGTAAAATGTAACTGTCTGATGTATATTTAAAATATCAAAGTATTGGGTAATCGATATTTGGTAATAATAAAGTAAATGGGTAATACTGTAATAGTCCGTCCGGTATGTATTTTAAGGGCAGGTTTTGTTAGGAACCTCATTTTTATTGAGAACTGGGAATCACCAAGAGTGTGTCATGTGTCCATATTGATGATGAATATGGACATGACATTCATCATGATGTTTGTATTCATATTCATAATAAATATGGACGAAATATTCTTGATGAATGTTTGTATTCATGATTAATATTGTAGAATTCACGTCCATGTTATGATGAATATGGACATATGCATAACGAGAACTGTGAGACCCCCTTTGTTGCCCTAACATGAAACTCATTGCGTTTGATCTAAAGCCTAATAACACGTGGTGGCAAGAAGGTAAATAAACCGAATTTCAGTGGCATTGACGTAGGGTATAGAGCTTAACATACCCCATACATTAATATGCCAACCTTAACAAAATTAACATGAAAATACGGAACATTAACATACCTTAACCAGCCTTAACAGATCTAAACAACCATGACATATCTCACGTACCTTAACATGAAAAACAAATGAATATTAATTGATTTGTCGTATGTGAATATATGATGCCTCTTTCTGATTTCTGAATTAAAAAAAAAAAGATTGATAAAACTACAAGTGGGAAAGCCTTAGGCCCAAGCTGCAAGAGCTGCCATTAATCCAGCCCCAAGGAAAAGTGCAATATAAGACACCACTTGAAGCCTAACATTGCATCTCATCCTCTTACTCAAGAAATCAGCAGCAATCAAGTCTACCAAAGCCATATAAACTAATATACCCGCCGATATCGAATCCAAGATTCCTTCGATCATCAGAGCTCTCGGGCTATTAGCATTGTAAAACTTGGATACACCCGTCCCTATACCCACACCCACAGGAGCCGTTATTGCAAAAAAGCACGCCATTACCATCGAGTGAACGCTCCCAAACTTCGCTTGTGAGATGCACCCACCGAGTGCAAACCCTTCAAAGAATTGATGGAAGGATAACGCTCCTAGCAAAGGTCTTATTGTACATGGGCTTTGTGAAACTCCTAGTGAAAGCCCGATTATGATTGAATGTGATATGATCCCAAGTTCCAAAACCTGTAGACATGAAGTTACAAAGTTGAGTTACTCCTCAAAAGTAAATATGGAATACAATTGTTGTTTCATCCCTATATTTGTTGGACACCTAATTAGGGTATCGTTAACCAACCAAACAAACTAAACAAACCCAGGATACCCTCTACGCAATTGCAGGGCATGGGGCATGGGATGTATGCAGACTTGTTCTCTACCTCAAAGAACACAGTGGCAATTTTGATGGAAGACCCCCACTTGTGCAAAAAGGAAAGTGAAACCAACTTTGGCAACTATCTTCATTAATAGAAGTGTACCTGCGAAACGACAATATGTCGTATACCACTCTCATCATCGTCGTCGTTGAACCCGTGGGAGTGAGAATGCATATGTGGGTTCTCATCAGAATACTCACCCACTTGCCCATCACAACCCTCCTGCCCACTTCCATGGCTATGTCTATGATGTGCAACATGAGCATGCATTCCCACAATGTGAATCCCGCCTCCTTCCTCTTCTCCAAACACCTTAACGTTGCTCTCTTTTCCGGCCACCTGAACTATCCCCGCCTCCGATGCCAAGTCAACCGATTCCACTCTAACAGCTTGGATCTGCTTCTCTTGTTTTCTTTCATAGTATTGAGTGCTAAGGAAATCCGCAACCAACGTCCCCAAAGCCGCCATCATTGCAATAAATCCCGAAAAGGGAAATTTTGACCAAGGGTTTTTAGGAAGACATGGATTAGTCAATGCCGATGTGGCATCCGGTAGCATGTGCACAAATCCGGTGGCAAGAATGACGCCGGCGGCAAAGGCCTTGGCGGCGAAAAAGAGATTGGTGTCCGTTCTGAGGAACCGCCGTTTCTTGCCGATCAATGGGATGGCAACTCCGATAATTCCGGCTATAAGGATGGAGGCAATAGCCACAAATTTGAGGATTAGAGCAGCCTTCTCATCCCGGCATGATTCTAGTTCCGGTGAGTCGCTGCAACTAACCGTCGACATGGATTCAGAAAAATTCCTGAAAAGCAAGCCTTTTGGCAATCCAAATCAAATAAACCAATCAGGAAATCATCAAGAAAAGATTGGTAACAACTAAAGATGGCCCCTTTTGTGCAAAAGATTCACAAACCTAGAGCAAGATACAACATCACAGAATTGAACTATCAAAGTGAAAAACTTAAGCAATCTTTGAAGAAACCCACATATTCAATCATCACTTAAATCAGAATCAACAAGGATCTATCAAAATCTATAACAGGGTTTTTCGAATTACCTGATAAATTCCCAACCCTCCCTTTAATTTCTTCTATATATAGAACAGGGAACAGTTCCTGAGAGAAACAAAAGAAAGATTCCACAATAAACGAAATCCCCAATTTAAAACAGAGCAGTTAAAAGAGAAATTCAACAAGAAAAGAGAAAGAACCTCAAGAACTGACATGGGGTTTTTTGTGAGATCGTGAAACGAGGCTTTATCGAAATCAACAAAGACTACAAATCCCTAAATATCGTAGGTTCGTCTAGAATCAATTTTCCTGGAGCCCGATGACGACGGCACTCTCTCCCATCCAGCACACAATTTGTAACGCTTACGCCTCTGAAAAGTGCGATCGAATGAGAGCAAAATGTCGACATAGTTTCGCGTAAGGGAGAGATTCGGTGGTTTGGGGTGGAAAGAATACAGAATTTTGCAACTGTTAGAGAGGGGGTGTGTCGACACTCGTTGTTGTGTTGATTTCAAGCAAGGACCCTAACTTTTGGCATATGTTACGATTTAGTCCTATACTTTTCATCTTTTGGCATATTGGTCCTTCACTTGACTTTGATTTATTTATCTTTTTGGGGAGAGTGTGTCAGGCTATGCCTGGACTATTCCCGACAAATTGTAACTACAAGAAATCAGTCATGATAACGATTATTTTCTTCCAACTATCTAACTTGTTGGTTAATCTTGCGTCGGATTTCAATTATAAAACCGAACAAACTTGATATAATATCATATTAGAAAAATACGATTCAAAAAGATAAAATGAATACAGACCCTTCATCTGCTTTAAGATGTAGAGATGTTTTCTAAATTGGGTTTCAATAATTTTCAAAAACAAAATTCTTTTATTGATATCGTTTTCCATCTTTAATGACATGGTCGGGCCTCGTTAAGTGATATAAGACAAAACGATGACGATGATGTGTTAAACGAATGGTTCTCCAAGTTCAATTCATATGATAAATGGGTATCAATGCATCAAACTTTTGAATTCAATGTTTACATCATTTCCCCAATATTATTTGGAGCCTTGGAGTTGGAGGTGGTACCAAGAAAATCCAATAGCAAAGCAACACAAACACTTTTTTCTAAACATGTAATATGCAAGATCTTTGGGCTTTAGGCCCATTTGAACATCTATGTGACATTGTCATCATGGCCTCAACCACCTAACAAGTTTTTGTTATCATCATGATGTTTGAGTTACTAAGTTAACAAATGCTTTATATAGGTGTTTGCGATTCAGTTTGGCGGTCCAACCCCTAAACCACAAATCAAATCGTAAGGGGCGGTTTGACATGAAATGACTAGATTGGTCAAAGGAGACTATCAAATGATGGTCTGGTTCGACTGGTAAAAAGGGTTGGGATTATGATGGCCCATGAAGTGAAAGAACTAATTATATATGATATTCTCAACAAAATATTATCCAAATTGCTACAAGTGATTCAACAAAAAGCCATATTATCAGCCATAGTTCAACAAAAAGCCATATTATCAGCCATAGTTCAACAAAAAGAGATTAAGAGTTGAGAGAATTCAAATAATAAAAATGAGAAGACAATTAGAAATCATCGAGATGTAAGAGAATGAGAAAGACTGGAACGGGAAAGCGATGAGAGTTGAGAGAAATCAGATAATAAAGAACTTAAGGTTGGTAATTTCGAATATTTCCTCTCTGTATTTGAATAATTAGTTAATTATGTACATTGCTTTAATATACAAAAAAATATATAGAATACTATATATATATATATATATATATATATATATACATGGGATCATGTGAGACCAATGATTTTTCATGAGACATGTAAGACTAATTATCAACCCTTTGATTAGATCTACAATCTGAACATTCATAATCACAAAATTGCCACGAGACTTCTCAATAATCACAAAATTGTCACCGTGCAACTTTAGACTATTAGATCATTACCTTATAAAGTTGATTAATGAACATAAATTGATCTTACGGGTCTCACGAAAAACCTTTGGTCTCACGTGAACCCAACCCTATATATATATATATATATATATATATATATATATATATATAGAGAGAGAGAGAGAGGGGGGGGAGAGGGAGAGAGAGAGAGGTGAGTTATTATGCAACCCTTTGCATTTGTATAACCAATACAACTCAATCTCAACCGTCCTTTTAATTTGATGAATATGTGATTTCATAGAAGCTTTTATTGTTTCCTAATATAAAATATTGATTATTAATGAACTCTAGTTATCTTTCATAAATATTCAAATCATAATAAATGAATTCTCATCATTTCCATAAATATTTCAATTAATTGGGTTGCATTGGTTGTACAAATTGACATGGTTGCATTTGAAATATACTATATATATATATATATATATATATATATATATATATACACGCAGTTTGGCGGTTTAAACCACCAACCAAATACTTCAAACTACATATCAGATTAGATCGGACAGATTGGCTTTGTTCTAAACCAGACCAAATCGTCAAACCGCTTAAATTGCCATAAGCGATCTGGTTTGGCTTGTCCAGTTTTTGCAGTCCTAGGTTTTTCTGAATATACTTTTGTCATTGTCATTGTCATCGCAGTCTAAAATTGTATATGTGGTTCTAGTACGTCTACGATGCTAGAATATTATCCATAAACGGAAAAACACATGAGATAAAATAAGGATTGTGAGGCCTAAATAAGAAAGAAAATTTCAGCCTTTTCCTTTCACTTATCCAAAATATTTCTAACCACAAAGTCACAACTCTAGATGTTTTGTAACCAGAACTTTCTCCTTGAGTTCTCTATCAATTTTAGTGTTACCGGTAGTATGATGTATACAGGAGCAGACCTACATTGACATAGACGTTGGCATGAGCTACCGCTTCATGATTTCTTTGGAAGTGGAAAAAAAATATGCTTTTTGAAGGGTGTCATTGTATTATTTTGTTGGATGTCATCATATAGTTTTTGAAACTTAAATATTAATACAAGACATTGATGGATTAGATGGTAAATGTTCCTATCTTTAATAAATGACAGAGGTTTGAGTCTCATTGTTGTCAAATTTGTTGATTCTTACCTTAAATTTTTGAACATCGTAACAAGTTTTTTAAGACATTTTTATTAAAAAAAAACGTCATATTAGTTATTTTATATGAAACTATTTGAAAAACTTCTTATAAAAACAAGTGTTTTATAAAAAGACGGGTTTATAAGACACTTTTTTAAAAATGTCCTATGAAATAACTAATACGACGTTTTGTATTAAAAATGTGCTAAAAATTCGTTAAGACATCCAAAAAGGTCATATAAAGTTTTTACAATGTTTTTAGATATGACACTTTATTTTTTGGTCTTATAAATTAATGTCCTATAAAATAACTAATATGGTGTTTGGGATTGCTTATAAAAACAACTTATTGACTTATTCCGGTGTGGCACCGTAATAAGCACTTTTGAGTGTTTGAATAAACAACTTATAGCGGTGCCAAACGATAATAAGAAGTTTTTGAAGAAGTTAAACCATTTTAACTTATAATAAGTTAATAAGTATTTATTTTAAAAACATAACTTGTTTCAAATAAGCAATCCCATACACCCCCTAAGACTTGTTGGAGGAAAGACTCTCTCCATCTCCACATGCACGAGCAAGGAGGTTGCAAAGCTAGACCGAATTGAGCTCGGACCATTGAACTTGTGTGTAGCTCAAGGTTAACCATAAAAATTTAAATTGAGTTTTGATATATCTTATTTTTGAAATAAAATCAATAATTCAGTTTTTGAATTCGAATTTCGAATTTTAGATTCTGAAAACAAATAAAAAGTTCTCTATTTTTAGTTGACATAATCGAGGACACCTTCAACCACTTTTTTCCACAGCATCGTTTGCAACAGTATAAAAATGGAGTCTCGGTTCCATCTGTACTTACTCAAAACAATCGCTTCCTCTGCTCATCTTTGGCTCGAGATTCTTTGCAAGGTAAAATTTACATGCGTTTAGTACGTTTGCGGCTTCTTACAAGTTGTTTCTGTCGTTGTATCCTGGGAAAGGATACAAAGTCGGAGCAAATCTATTTTAAGGAAACCATGTCAAACACGGGCATTGAATATCCCTTTTCGTTTCATATTTCTCGATTTCGAATATATTTATTCTATAGTAATACGCCCAACCAACAATATCTATATTTATGTGTTAAAACAAAGATACCAATATCATTCTCATTTAAAATAAAAGATAATTTAAAGTTTAATAAAATGCATCTTTTTCTTTTCTTTTTTCCCTTGATTAACCTGGATATCCAACCTGCTATGTGAACCGACTAATCTCAGAACGACCACCTGCTTTATAGATAACCTGAAGTCACCACATTTAAACCACCGTGACCATAAAAGAATTCTTATTCCTCCGTGTTGATTTCAAATTTCAAGCATATATGTGATGGATAATAAAAATTGATGTAGTAGTAAAATAGTGATGAATTATTTGGTGGGGCCAGGAGACATGTGGTATGTTCATAGATTAAATAAAGTTTTTTTTAAAATAAAAAAATAAAAATTTGATTCTATTTGGTTTACATAATTGTTTTTGAAGGATTTAGATTTTATGAAGGGATTTAGATTGGAATGAATTTGAAATTATTAGTGTGTTTTGGTTTGTAGGATTTGGAATGGAATTGGATTCCATTATTTATAAAAAATTATAAAAATAATTAAATTACATTTTTATTGATCGATTATTACAAAACAAATGTGTTTGAACTAGGTCCGCAATTACAAGGACCAAATATGTAAAAAAAATATATAGAATACTATATATGTATGTGTGTATGTGTGTGTGCGTGTGCGCAGTTTGGTGGTTTTAAACCACCAACCCAATACTTCAAACCACAAACCAGATTAGATCGGACGGATTGTTTTTTTTAAACCACATTAAACTGTGAAACCGCTTAAATTGCCATAAGCGGTCTGGTTTGGTTTGTCCAGTTTTTGCAGTACTGGGTTTTTCTGAATATACTTTTGTCATTGTCATCGCAATCAAAAATCGTATATGTGGTTCTAGTACGTGTAGGACGCTAGAATATTAATCCATAAACAGAAAAAACACATGAGATAAAATAAGGATTGTGAGGCCTAAAAATAAGAAAGAAAATTTTAGTCTTTTCCTTTCAGTTATCCAAAAAAATTCTAACCACAAAGTCACAACTCTAGATGTTTTGTGACCAAAACTTTCTCCTTTACAAGGTGAGTTCTCTATAAATTTTACTATTACTGGTAGTATGATGTATACAGGAGCGGACCTACATTGACAGAGACGTTGGTACGAGCTACTGTTTCATGGTTTCAAATGTAAAAATCGTGTTTCACGAAAATAGTCTTGTCTCACATGAACTTAACCCTATATATATATATATATATATATATATATATAGTTGGATTCCAGTGTGAAGGAATCTTATGGTGAGAAGGGTAAGAAGAGATCTTCATCATTGAATTAATTCTAATTAAAGATCAACACTAGTAAGATGTACCAGATCAATTCATTTCTAAAGCGCAATTCATGGGTGGGCATGAGATTAAAAGTGATCAAGGATGAAGATCTTTTCTTACGCTTCTCACATTTAACTCTTTTTCTTAGACAATCTTTTGTCTATATACATACATACATATACATATATATATATATATATATATATATATATATATATTGATTTTTCCTGTGTAATTCATTCAAGCAATTCATACAAAATACTATAAATTTCTCTCTCTACATTACAACTCAGATATGGTATCAAAGTGTTAAGTCTCGTTGTGTTTTGATTTTTAGGTCATCGGAAAACTTTGACAAGTAACCTAATTCATTGTTTCTTTCGTTCAATGTCTGAGTTCAAATTGTTCTTGAATTTATTTTCTGTCTTCTTGTTCTTTCTTTGATTTCTAATATCTCAGTTCGAATTTCTTCTAAAATCCAATTTGTGTTCATTAGATCTTTATCAAATTGTTAATCTTCATTTTTGTGTTCAAAAATGACAAGTGCAACACAGAATTAGCACAAATGAAATTTGTGTAGCTTCGTCAATGCAGGTCCATTTTTCTTGCATTACGCAGTACAGATACAAATGGTGCATATAACACAAGATAGAGCTCTCATTGGTACAAAACTTTCTGCATGGTTTTAAGCATGAAATTTATTCATTATGCTACCGTCGTGGCACGCCACGACTTAAGAATTGTGTCTCACGCCACGTTATGCATGTGGCACGCTAGGCCCAATGCACTGTTTTTGTAAACGCAATATTTGATTTTTCTTATTTTTTTTAATGTGTTATTTGTTATTTCCTCCACCATTTGTTGTATCATCACCCAATTCTGACTATCAAAAGTTTATACAAATATAATTTTAATATATTTTTGTTATTGTCTAAATTTGGTATAAATAATATTAATCATGATAACTTTAATTTATCGGTAAAAAATTGTTCGTATTAAAGTATTTTAGGTTTTAAGTCTAATAAATGTTACAGTAAAAATCAATATTTAATATAGTAGTAAAATTAGTTATTTAAATGAAATTTGGAAGTGTTTTGCTGAAATTTAAAAATGAAAACAGATGTGTATGAAATTTGGAATAGAAAGAAAAACAATAAAATGGAATATTTTAGCAGCTTTGTTTTGTCTAATTTGGAAATTTAAAAATAAAAAAAAGCAACACGAAAATGGTCCATACTTTTACTTCAACATGCATATATTCGTTATTTTAAACATAATTTGATGATTTATTTAAGTATACGACAAAACTATGATTTTTAATTTGGAAATGTCAGATTATCCATTGTTTTTTCTATTTTTAGATCCAATTGAGTTATTTTATTTACATATTTAAATACAATAAATTATTGTTATTATTGCTGATTCTTTTAGGAACTCAAGAACCAATTATTTGATTAATATTATTCATCATAAATTGTCAAAAAAAAATTGGTGGTTTTTGAGTTCCTAAAATACTTAACGTTCTTAAATGAACCCGTCCTTATTATTGTATATACAATATTGACATATATACATATAATACTAGAATGATACTTGTGCAATGCAGCGAAATACATCTTGATTTTAATATTTTATTTTATTATTTATTTCAGTCGATGTTATAGTATAGTCTTATGTGATTTTGAAATATTTTTGAACAAAATATATATTTGAAGATATCATAAAAATTTGACAAAAATATATCGATATTAGTATCAAATTAACTATTTAAAATTCTTATTTTTTGTGTAATTTTTAATTCAATTTTTTTTGTTATAATTTAATTTAGGTTCAATAACGAGTAATTTATATTTGGTTTAATAATATAATTTTCTTATAAAAATAATAATTAATTATTTTGTTAGAACTCTATAATTATCCTAAACATATTTTAGATTTTTTATATTTTAAAATGAGATTTTTATCAGTAGTTAGTTACACGAATTCAAACATTGAGTTTTAATAAGTTGTAAATATGCATAAATTACTTGTAATTTTGAATTTTAAGTAATATGCATCAATATACAATACTTCATGCATAAAAAAATAGGGTTTTAAAGTTTTTGTCAAATGTTTTATAATATAGTATAAATACACACACAACCACCATGACTACACCTCCTCTCTGTGTCTTGTCATCTCTTTCTCCCGGTGAACATCTTCGTTCTAGACCTGCAACATCCTAGTCTCTAATGACTCCATCTCCTCAACACACCTCCAACCTGTTCAAACTCCAAGAACATCATGGCCTCCCTATCTCCATCTCGCAGCCTCCCCTTCTTCGATGAGGCATACAAGCCCTCATCGTCCCCACCGTTATCCATCTCCATTTTGCCACCATTAATTCCCTTCTCCCCAAATTGGAATTAGAAGCATCCTCGGTTTGGCAAGAAAGAGGGGGAGACATGAGCATGAGGAAAGTTGCAAGTGTGGGGGTCGATGATAATGAGGAGGGAAGGTTCAACGAGTAACGGGTATGGGGAAGGGAAATCACTTGTGTTAAGGGTCGACATGGAGGGAAGTTGTCGCTTGGTCGACATGGGGTGGGGGTCAATGATGTGAAGGGAAGGGAGAGGAGAGAAAGGGTAGGGATATGTAGGTCCCGATGGGTTCACTAACAAAAGTTAGTCAGGAGATTAAAACCGTAGCAAAATGGCAACTACTAATATCGTTATTTTAGGGATAAGATTTAATAGTATGTGTCTACGTGACAATCACAAGGAGCAAAATAATTTACTCCAAAAAAATTTAACTTTAATTTGTTAATATAATAATAAAATAGCTTTTTTTACGATTGAAACCAATTGAGGACAAGCTTTTTAATGACCCACTTGTTATTTGAGTGTCGGGTTCCCATGAAATGAGACCGTGCGAGGTACATTGAAGGTCCAAATACACATATGTGAAGGTTTTGTGTTCGCTTTCGTGAATGTCCAGTTTTTTCATGTGAAGCTTTGTTTCGTGGTTTTTGTCGTTAATGTCCGATGTTTTGGTGGAATGTTCTCACAAACACCGACTTAATCAGTTATTTTAAAATCAATTATAATCTATACTTTGAAAAAAAAACTCTTAAAAACCACTTTTTATACATGAAGTACTGTATATTGATGTATATTACCTAAAATTCAAGATTACAAGTAAATTATGCATAAGTACAACTTATTAAAGCTCCATGTTTGAATTCGTGTAACTAACTGCGGATGAACATAATAAAATAAAGGATAAACATCTCATTTTAAAATAAAAAAATCTAATTCGGATAATTATCAAGTTATAACAAAATAATTAATTAATATTTTTATAAGAAAATTATATTATTAAACCAAATATAAATTACTTTGTTATTGAATCTAAATTAAATTATAATAAAAAATTTGAATTAAAAAATTACACAAAAATATAAGAATTTTTTAAATAGTTAATTTGATACTATAACATCGACTGAGATAAAAAATAAAATATTAAAATCAAAATGTATCTCATTGTATTATGCGAGTATCCTTCTAATTAAACCAAATAGACACTGTTGGAGTTTGAATTTGAATATAACAAGAAAAACATGTTGGTACTTTTACTTTAGAATAAGTTGAAACTCAAAAGGGTGAGAGTTTCAAACTTTGGGGTTCAAATCCATTGCATTGTTATGTGGAGTCTCCTTGCACGCGTGGGCATAAAAGTAAAAGACATTGAACTTGGAAACAAACTCTCGTTTTTGTTAGATCTACGCGTTAATTCGATAAAGATTTTATAATGTGATGTATCCAACACATAAAAAATGAAAAGTTTGTCGTTTGTATGCTGACTGTAATATCTAGAACGACATTAATAAAATTAAGGTCACAAAGTTGACATTTTATGAAATATAGCATATTCGAACACGAGTTGTGTAAGGTCGTGTCGAGGTCTGCTAAGATGATGATCTAGGCGAGTTGATGGTCGCATAGGAAATTGCTTATAGGGATGGTAATGGGGCGGGGATGGGATGCCCGTCCCCGTCCCCATCCCCACGGGGGAATTTGATCACATCCCCGTCCCCCGTTGGGAAACGAGGATTTTTTTTCATGTTTGTGTTTTTTTAAATCAATTGTGTGAGACGTTACACATGTTTAAATCTCATATTTTCCCAATAAACCTAAAATCAAAAGGAATTTAAATTAATACAAAAAATATACATCATTATATAATAATTAACAATGGAAAACCAAAAAAAAAAATCTAAAAAAATTAACGTCACATGTAGCAAAACATATCGAGTAATATCCAAAACCACATATAGTAATATCCAAAATATATTGAAATAGAAATTACCATTTACCGATTTAATAGAAATAAATAATATAATTTATTAATATATATATATATATATATATATANTACTTTGTTATTGAATCTAAATTAAATTATAATAAAAAATTTGAATTAAAAAATTACACAAAAATATGAATTTTAAATAATTAATTTGATACTAATATCGATATATTTTTGTCAAATTTTTATGATATCTTCAAGTTTATATTTTATTCAAAAATAAAAACATCATCAATTTTTCAAAATCACATAAGACCATACTATAACATCAACTGAGATAAATAGTAAAATAAAATATTAAAATCAAAATTTATATCACTGCATTATAAAACTATTCGAAGGGTACATTTAGCACATGACCCTTGTATAAAAAAAAACAAAAAAAATTCCCAATTTTAACCCCATATATGAATTCAGAAAGACCAAAAGCAAACAAAATTTGATCATTTTCACTAAATCTTATGCTTACCAAAAGTAAGACCATGGATCCACCTCCGTTTACAAACCATGAACCGGGTCAAAAATGACCCGAATTATTGAACCCGTTACAAAACAAGTAGAACAACGATTTACCTTGGATAACCAAAGAATGAAGTTGAATCTAAAATCAAAACAAACGACACTATTATACGAACAAATACATTCCATAAGCATAAATAACCATCCAAACGAACCACCCATTTGGCCCTCACGGTTAGCCGTGACTGTTTACGGCTTCCCAGACCAGATTCTTTGGGACCGGTTTGGTCAAGTCACGAGCCTGTAGAGCCGCGGTTTGCAGTGTCGCAATCGTCATCTCGTTCGCCTTGAAAAACGAGGCTGAATCGTACGGTAAACCATGTTTCTTACACAACTCCTTCACAAACGGCGAGATTTTTCGAAGGTGGCATCTCGGCAGTCTCGGAAAGAGATGGTGTTCGATCTGAAACTGAAGACCGCCGTGGAACCAATCCATGAATGCTGAACAGTCGATGTTGAGCGTGCCGTTGGTTTGCTTCTCGAACCAATCGTTCCCACTTGGTTCGCCCACGTAAACCGTGGACGAGAAATGGTTTAACGTGAACTGAACATGTTGGATCCCGGTGACGGAAAAGCTCGCCAACACGAACATCACTCGTTCTTGCCAATTCGGTAAGAAAGATATCAGCAAAGGGTACCAAATCCAAAAGACTAGAAGCCCGAAAAGCTCTTGCCCTCTTTTCGACACTTTCTTGTTCGATAAAAGCAACACGAACGACTGAGCGAAAAGATTAAGTCGAGCTACGCACATAACTGGATAATATGTGTAATGCTGGTAGCTAACGAGAAATCGAGTTACCGAATCGAAGTTCAACTTTCTTTCATAGTATTTCGAAGTGATGGAATCGAAAAACTTGGAAGACACCACGAAAACCGGCATGTGTTGAAGGTCTGGATCGTATTCAAGACTGTTGACAGCAATGTGGTGGGCAGTATGGTTTCTTTTCCACCAGCCGATGCTAATTCCGGCGAGACAATTTCCGGTCAAGATCTGAGCAAATCGAGTCGATTTCCGATCCATCATGATCTGATAATGGCCGGAATCATGACCAAGCCAACCACTTTGAATCCAAAGAAACCCCAGTAATCCACCACAAATCAAATGAACAAAAGCACTTTTGCTGCATAAAACACCATAAACACAAATCGAAAACAGCATTGCGATGAACACCATGGATATCAAAACCCCATGACCTTTCTTTTCAAACAAACCCATTTTCGTAAACTCCAAATAGAGCTTTCTGTAATCTTTAGAGATCTCAGAGACAGTGTAGTCTTTGAGATAATAGCCATTAAAGAACCTGTCGAGATGTTGCCAAGCGGTGGAAGGATGAAGAGCAACGTAGGCATCAGTAACATCTTGACCAGCAAGATTCAACAATGGCAGATCACCACCAGGATGGGTTTTCATCCAATCGGAAACATCATACACCTTTCCCTGAATACAGATCCACAGATCCCCTGGTTTGTTATGTGTTTTGAGGTCATTTGAAGAGATATACTTTTTGGGTTCCGCCATTGTTGAAAAGCTTCAAGGAAAGAAGACAATCTTGAGATTTAAAGGGTTTTCCAAGACACCCACTTTCTATCTATTCCTGGTAAGGAGTCATTGGTGCAGATTGGGGAAATGTGATTTTCTGTGGGCTGGATTATTTGAGATTATTATATGATTATTTTATATTATAAATTAAAGATATTTTGGAAAGCATTGAGATGGGTATAACTTGGGCAGTAGCGCCAATGGAGTTCGAAAACAGCATATTCTAACAAAGATTACTCATTACAGTGCCATTATACAACAGCATGTGCAAGACAGCAAGAGGTTGGAGACGAGACGAGTGACTCCATTTTAGACACGTGAAATGATAAGAGGGCATGAATTTGTTTTATTATTTAATTAAATTAAATTAAATTTCAAATATTAAAAATATTATTTATTTTTTTAATAAAATCTTTATTTTACAGTGTTTTAGTGTTTGAGATTGATTATTTGAAATAACTTATGTTTTTCTACAAAAACACTTATTAACTTATTATAAGTCAGAAGGGTTTAACTTATTCAAAAAACTTCTTATTAACGGTTTGGTACCGGTATAAGTTGTTTATCCAAATACTCAAAAGTGCTTATTACCGGTGTCACACCGAAATAAGTCAATAAGTTCTTTTTATAAGCAATCCCAAACACCCCTTTAGGTATATGAATTATTTCTATCTATTTGTGTTTGTGTTTTAGGTGCTTGAACAATTTAATGTATTGATACTCATCTTTTGGATCATAACTACAATAAATGTTATATTTGGTAAATTAGTTGATAATTAAAAAGTTAGCTTATGAATCAATCATGTTTGGTAAAAAAAAATAGTTCATAAATGTAAAACGATCAAAAAAGACATGTTAAAAAATTAGTCAATTCTAACGTTTCATTATATAATTAAAACAATATGTTAAATATTAAATTGTAAAGAAAATTAAATGATATAATATGATATGTAAATTAATAGAATTTTTAATTATTTTAAAATTTTATTATTTATGAAATAAAATAAATATTACTTTAATTTTTATGAAACTTAAAAAAAGATTTTATCATTAGGAAGATCATCAAAACGACTAAGATATACATGATGTATTAAGGAAACAACCAACTTTTACTGAAATTGCCAAAATAACCACACTGATTGCCCCGGGGGAATGGTTTGACCATGGGGGCAATCCCCTTCTTGTTTGACCAAATAGTACAAAAAATTAATTTGGTGGGACCCACATGTATCTACTTTAGGAAACCAACACTATTTGTCTCGATAATGATGATCTAACCCCCGGGGGCGATCCCCACCTCAACGGATCTACCCCCGGGGGCGATCCCCACCTCAACGGATCTACCCCCGGGGGAGATCCATGATTTTTTTCCCCACTATTTTGTCTTTTCATGTATATCAATTAATGAGTGTTTCTAATAAATATGAAACAATATAAACTGTTTTTTATTAATTTTTTGAGCAACCAAATATTTTGAATGAGAATAAAATAATAATAATAATATTAAAATGATTCATATGATTCATAATTAATATGAATAATTTAAAGTTACTTTATATTTTACATAATATATTAACCAATAATTAATATTTATTTACTAGTTACAACTAATATTTATTAAGAAATAACTGTAATAAAGGTAAAATTGGAAGAAATCAGTAAAAAGAAAATTCTAGAACTTATCGACATGTTAATTCACTAATTTATCAACTACTTTTTGCTCATTTTAAATAGGGTTTTGGGAATAAACTCAAAAAGTAAGATGGTCTATGGTTGTCAAATATGTCGCTGAGAGCATCTTTAACAAATTCTTTAAAATGAAAAAATAAAAAGATCTTATGTTATGTTCTCGAGTCTGTTTTTACGAAGGAAAGTAGGAGGGAAAGAAAAAATCTCGTGTCCTCGAGTTTTTTTAGGAGGGAAACGAAAGGAAATAGAGGAAAATAATGTTGATTTTCCTCTTAAAACTTTGTTCCTAAATATCTATACTACTTTATTAAACAAATTCATTAAAAGTCTTAAAGTCTTAAAATTTTAAATACCCAAAATACCCTTTACTCCCAAAACAATCCTTATGCATGAAGAAATCGATTCCGCCTCCCAAAACAAATCCTGATGTATACTCCCTAAGTAATGTCCGCTCCCAAGAAATCGATTCCGCCTCCCAAAATGCCGCTTCCTTCTCCCAAGGCAACGAGTTCATTCTTTTCAGTTCCGCCTCCCAGATCCATGGTTGAGATCCAGATTAGTAGAGGTGATTCAAGTTCTTGAAATCATCAATGCTTATCAAGGTTTGTTCTATCGATCCCTACTTCTCTACTGGAGTTATATGATTACAATGTTAGGGTTTTCTACATTCTTCTTCGGATTTGATTGTTCATCGCTCCATCTCAGGTAAAGGTTTTTTTATTTTAACGTTAGAGTTCTCTACATTCATTGATTTCCCAGACCCCTGTTCTTACTCGACGCCTGAATCTATGTTCTTGTTCAACGACTGAATCCCTGTTATTATTCGGCGCCTGAATCCATTGATTTCCCAAACCCCGTTCCCGCTCTAATCTTTCTCCCAAATCCCAGATTCCCAGTCGAATTTCCATTCTTTCTCCATTCTACTTCTTCTCGATTTACAGTTCCCACCTTCTTCTCAATCAAACGGCTTCCATCTTATTCTCGATCGAACTGCTTCCATCTGCTTCTCCATCGAAAACAGGTTTGAATTTTCATCTATCATCATAAGTCTTCCTCTTTATTTTGGGCTATATTGAGCTAGGGTTCATAATCAATAAATTTCTTTTTTTATTTTGGTGGCTGAACATAGATGGAAAGATGATTATGAAAACTGAGAAGCAATATTAATGGACGTATTTCGACCGTTTTTCAAATCTATTATGAGAACTGTTTCATATATAATATTAGGAGTAGAACTTTAGGTTTTGATTTGTATTTGACTGAGTTAATGCTCCACATCTACTTTCATCTTTGGAGACTATAATGATAACTGTTTAATATGATAACTTTGCACAGGTTAAGCGAGATTCAGTGGCCTGCTTTCATTTTACTTTGCACAGGCTTCTAGAATGATAAMTCTGTAATATAATCCTTTGTAAGTTTGATTATCTCCATATGACAAGYTTCATGCTTGTGTTGTTGTACTGGATTGCTTCATAGATGTGCATTTTGCATCACTTAAATAGGCACATTATCAAAMAAWWTTCTTTATTAAGTTCCTTGTTTTATAGTATAAAGAACTATCATAGTTTCATCAGTCATTTACTATCATTTGTATTATCATTATTAACTATCAAGTATATCGCCTTGGGTCCTAAATGTTCCCCTGGCTCTTTGCTCCCTTGAACGTTTTGTAGTCTTGGTGATGATCGAAAAATCATTTMTGTCACATCCGCARGCCCTTATTTACTATATGAAACTGCTATGTCCCAGTGGTTGCGGCAAGATTTTTTACTTGTTTCATTTAAGGCATCTTCATGTAATCAATTACTTCATTTTGGTTCCCATCATACCTTTTTTTCATGCTTCATAATTTGATTTAGGATTCACCCTATA